TAAGACGTTTAAAAGACGTCTTTTTTACGTCTGTGTCCACTGGGTAGATATGTTAGTCGCGGGTTTCTCTCCCAAGTATTCATCAAACACTTTAGTTGACTGAATAAAATTAGATGCAAGAGAAGAGCCTACATAAATAAAATATTTTTTATATTCTTGACATTTATTTTTTTCACTTGTTATAGTTTTGTTGTTAATAATAACTTTTTTGTCACCAAGTCATATTAAGATTTGCAATAAAACGGTTTTCTGCGGTGATCACCAGTAGTATGTCAAAACTTTGTATGCCATTTTGAGCTGAGTTAGTTGTTCAAATTAAAACCAAATATTCGATTCTGTTTGGATAGAAAATTTGTTGCTGTTATCTATCTAGAATCTAAAAGTAAAACCTTTTATTATTTTATATGCTATATAAAAAATATCTTCAGGTATATAAAATTTTAAATTTAATAAATGTATTTTATATTGATCGGTTTTTACATAATTTCTGCAAAAAGCTTTTTTTTCTATTGGTTTTTATATTTTCAAATTTAATTTGAATGCAATAATGCGTTTTGGTAGTTTCTTTCATATTTAAAAAAAAAAAATTAAAAATTTCAAAAAATAATAAAGTTACTTATTTTTTTTTTTGTTCGGCGATCGGTTTGACCGAGCTTTACTCTCGAGTGCTCAGCGTAGTTAAGGAGAGATTCGAACGATTAGCATTTCTTAAAAAAACAATAGTTTATATTTTTAAATTTCAATTTTTTGTGTTTACTGCTTATTTTCGACTATTACTGTTATATATTTTTAAAAAGTAGAATTTAAGTTTTTCTTTTATAATTTATTATTTTTTATGAATTTTTTGTTAACCAAATCACCAAGTAAAACAAAACTACCACTAAAATACATAAAACGCGACGGGGGAGCGTTATAAAAACAGCTGAAACATATGTAATAAGTATTTACATTCCAAAGTCTCTTTTGTTCAAAAGTAAAAAGTCTCCTTGGTTACAGCATTAAAATATTCAATAAATGGCTAAAAAGCTCATATTTTATCTTTCTGTAAACAGTAGAGACGTTAAAACTGAAGTTTTCACATAAGTTTTCACTCGTAGCAATTTACTTCCATAATCTCTTTATAGTCTTTGAATAAATTACTAAACAGAAACGTTTCAGCTCTTATGTAATTTCTGCCCCATAGTATTAAGCTAAAACTTGAAACTCGTAGATAATAAAAACGCAGAATTTTGTAATCAAAATAGGGTAAGTTGGCGAATTTCGGGCAGTTTGCTGAACATTTGCCGTAAACGTTATAGAATATAACCAAACGGCCACCAAAAGTATAATGAGATCAGTTTAGGCAGCCAACTGTTTTATCTACAAAATAGTAATAGTTTATTTTTTTGTTTTCGTTTTGAATATTTTTTTTGATGATTTGCACAACTTCGTGCAAGTTGACAAAGTAAAATTTAATTTTTTTTTTTTTTTTTTTTTTTTTTTTTTTTTTTTTTTTGCTGTTTAACAAATATAATCAACACATATATATACAAGAAAGAAAGAAATATGTCCGTATAACAAAGAAGACAGTAAAATCTTGTCAACAAGCACCGTTTTTGTATATACAGTATATAAAATAAACTATACTTTTTTACAATGATCTTTATAAAATAAAGAGTTAAACAGACAGGGGCTCAAAGAAGATGAAGATGACAAAACGTCATCGCAATCTTTTCATAGAACCCCCTATATACATTTTCATTAGGTTATGGATATTAAATTAAATTAAAAACCCTAATGGGCATAAAACTGCTGCGCTGATCAATAAAAAAAAATAAATAAGATTATAAAGAAAATTACTTTGTAATCCTTTTAAGCACAAATAATAATCAAATTTTAAAAATTTCTTTTTTTATCAGAAACTTAAATGAACTTAATTTCGTGCACTTTTTTTTATAAGTTAAATTTAGCAGATTTATTCAAGATGCAATGCTTAATTCACATATAGTTTTTTAAAATATTTTTCTAGTGATGATAACCTAATTCAACTCTAATTCAGACATTTGTCTGACTTAGAGTTGAATTAGGTTAAAGGAATATGTTATTAAAACTAGGTTATAATATGGTAGTCAAAAATACCCAGAAAAATTTAATTCTCAAGAGATTAGATTGAATTCTGTAGTTGTTGGGATAGTAGAAATTGTGGACGGCATAGATGTGACACACGCTATGTTTGTTTGAGTATTATTATACGTGCTGGAAATATAGATATTGCAGGTTTGTACTTCTGTTACAGTTGTATTTTGTTTTGCAGCTTCACATGGTGTTACGGCATCTGGATAAAAAATGAGCAGGGGTAGAGATTTTTTTATTTGAATTATTGTGCAACCACTTATACATATTCCACTCCCGACCAGAAGTAGTCGCATCACTCTCAACGTCATAACCTTCTTCTAATCGTCTTCGAAACGTTACCAGGACATTCTCCGGTATTAATGATTCCATTTTTTTCAAGCACCTCAAGAAAGTAAACATTTCTGTCAAGGAATTAGAAGAATTACAAAATCCGTTAATGGATCGCCCGAGAACATAGTCAGATGGATTTACATGGTCTAAATTGTAACGAGGCTGTGCTCGAGAACGAGGCTCGTGGAAATATAACTTGAGGTTTATGGTAGTTTCCATCTCCGGATACACAGCAAAGAACTGTTATTTGCGTTTTTTGTATCAGGGGCTGTACGATATACATTCTTTATACCCTTTGAGGCAATTATTTTCAGCTTTCTTAATGTCCCTGCTAATAGAAACCCTGCTTTGTCCAAGTTAAACACTCGACTAAAGTTTTCTGGTAAAAGGAACTCTGAAGCGTTTATTTGGTGTTCTTTAAACAAATCATTCTTCAGATCAGTAAACCATTGCCTGATTTGAGCATGAGAAAAGTTTTGACGCTGGTAACCCAAACTTTCAGGCATTCTTCTTGCAAGATCAGAATGCCTTTTGAAAAACCTACTAAATATAAAGTAAAAAAAACAGGTTTATCAAATTAAACACAGATTAAGCAGATACAAAACAATCAAAGGTCAATCAAAATCAAAATTTTGTGGCATTTCTTTATTATATATTCAAAACACTTAATAGAGTAGCAATTATTTACCTGTAGATTCAAAACTTGCTTAGTAGATTATTCACAAACTTTCTATGAACTATCATATCATTTTTTTCTTTATCGTTAAGTCAATGCTCTGTTATATGTTGCTTTTTTTTAACGTCTAAAAGATTTTTTACTATGCTTGGTACATCGTTTTGGCAAATACCATATCCTATTTTTGCTGCTTTAATCAAAAAGTCTTTTATTCTTTCTTCGCCCTCTTTATTTAAAGCAGATTAGCGACCTTTAAGTAAAAAAAAATTGTTAACTTCTGAAAAAATTTTATGAAATTTATTGCTTATGGAGAATTAAATCTAGCATAGTAAGAAAATAAATATTTTAAGCAACACAAACCTATCTTTTGCTTGGTAGCACCGTATCTTCTATTTATTCTATCACCAATTGTCTGAGAAGGCACATTATATTTTAAACTTGCCTTTCTCCATGAAAAATGATTTTCTTGAACATCAGCAACAGCGGCCATAATAGCTTCCTTGTTATATTTTTGGTACTTCTGTCTTTTCTTAGAGTCCATCGTCACGATAGCAAACTTGATTAAAAAATTATAACTTGTATATTCCACTGTAATGATATTAATGATACACTATAATTATATTTTTAAAAAGTTGAAATTTGAATTCAAATATTGCTTAGTTAAAAGAAATCCAGCCATGTAGATAATTTTGCAGCTGCTGTTTTAATTCTTTTGTTTTGTCTTAAAAACGTCACTAGCAACCTTAAGCATTCAAAATCATTGTTAGGTAAAAATAAAATAATGCACGAAATTTAATACTGTGTAAATTAAATTTCGGGCATAATGCACGAAATATGATGCTTTCGATAATTCGTGCAGAAATTTTTTACATCAAAAAATTATTTGTTTATTATTATTATTAGTTTTTACCCTTCCAAACATATTCGTTAAACTTGGGAGAACGATTAGTACTTCTTTCAAATAAATGTCGTACTTCATTTTTGTACAGTTAAGTGTAAAAATAAAGTGTAAAAAGTTTTACGTTTTTTCACTTTACGTGAAAAACCGATGTATCGTAACTTATAACAGCTTTTTTAATATAAATATTTGGACTATCGACATAGGTTAGCAGTAACTTGATACGGTAAGGTTGTACTAACTGAAACGTGAAACAACACTTTGATTAAATTAGCGTCAGTGTGATTTTTTTGGTGCGAAAGGCTGTTTGCACGAAATTCGATGCCGCCCGAAATTCGCCAACTTACCCTAAAGCAAATAATTTCGTAATTTGTTAAAAAAATAAACCAATTAAAATGCACACAAAATAAAACGGTATTTTTTGAAAACGAAAGCAGCCGTGGCGCAGTGGTAGCACACTTGCCTCAGAAACGTAAGATCCCTGGTTCAAACCCCACTTCTGGACAAGTTTTGCGTCATCGGTTTGGAAGGAGGCGTGAACTTCCTATTAAATGCTCTTCGGCGGTGTTCTGTGATAAGACCGTAAGGACTTCTTAGGACACCTAAAATCAACATAAAAAAAAAGGGCCTAAACGCTATATTGTTTTTCCACGCTGAGTGGAAAAATTATCAAAGCATCTTGAAATAATGTTTTATTGTAGGTGCGTAAACGTTATGTGCCATATTATATGGCGCATGCTGTCTTTCTTTTTATAAACTTCAAAACAGTTTTTCCTTAATAACTTCACGAAATTAAGACGCTATGATTTGCACCGCTTTGATTGCATCCTCGAAGTTGAGCTAAATGATAGTTCACTTTGGAATCAAAGGGATGCAAATCACAGCGATTTACTTAAGTGAAGTTAATAAGGAAAAGCTGTTTTAATATTTTACTTGTTTTAATAAACATTTCATACACAATCCATGTTTAAGAAAATTAAATTATTTTTTCTAAAAAATCTCGATATTTCATTACAATAAATAAATAATAAATAAACAAATAGCAAAAATAAATAAAACAAAAATTCTCATTCGTTTATAGTCCTCAAACATTGTTCCATGCTTTTATTTAAACCATAATTTAAAATGTTGAATATTTATAAGGATTTTTCAATGGCCTCAAAAACTAACGCGACAGCAACTGCACCGGGGTCTGGATGTGCTAGTCTTGTCTTTGCAACGTAACTCGCTCTCCCAGATTTCGCATTCATTTCTATTGTATTGTTTGATCCCGTTCTGGAAGCCTTACAAAAATAAAAAACACTATACTTAACTAAGTTTAATTTGACCATAAAAATAAAAAATAAAAACCAACTTACTTCAGCAGCCTGCTTCATTACAGCTTTTACTGTTATGTCTGATAAAGCCAATATATTCAAAGCGTGCCATGCAGGACAGAGTGCATCCAACTTAAAAAATATCGCATCATTATTAAACATGGTTTTTAAATGCTAGAAATTTTATGCACATTTAACAGATCAATTTTTAAAACTATTTGAAAAATCTTTGAAAAAAAAAAGTGACCTTTACTTTAGTAAATTTTGATTTTATAATTAAGTCAATGCCTTTGCAAGAATGGTTTTGCACAAATTTTTTTTTTAATAACTATAATCACTGGCGTAGAAACAGTGAGGAGGGGGTGGGGAGCAAAGCGGAGGAGGCAATGGCCCCTCAACTTTCAGAAAAATTCAGTTTTTTCCATTCAAATTCTGATTCTGGCTGCCTCAGCCCTCCTTAATTTTCGTTTTAGAAACCAAAATTTAAAGGTCATTTTTAAAAAATATTATATTTAAACACAAAATTTGCCGCAGTTTTTAATATAATGTTAAGTGATGAAAAATGAACAACAAACATTTGGTCTCTATGATAAGTATTCAAACTACAACTAATGTTAATCGTCTAAAAGAAAGGAAACAAGTTCTAATTTTTTTGTATGAAATTTTGCAAATATTTTAACAGTCACATCTAAATCAAAGTTATAATCATAGTGGATGTGCATTAAAGTTATAATCATAGTGGATGTGCATTAAAGTTATAATCATAGTGGATGTGCATTAAACTCAGAAATTAAAGACATTAAAGACAACTCGGAAAGCTGTACCTGTCCTAATGTTGCTCTTGTGTATATATGAAGGCGTCAGATTAGGCGTTTTTTCACATTCTTTCTTACTATTTACAAAACTATTTTACTATTGTAAAAAGGATTTGTCTAACGCCAAAGCCTGCTATTCTCAGGTCATGAAATCTGGCATTTTATCTCAAAAATTAGGTTCTCTTGACTTATGGAGACTCTAACAGTATCAATAAAAAGAAAAAATCTGTTATTTCACCTCTCTTGTATGGTTCAGATTTTGTCACCTCATCTGAAGACAAAGCTTAATTGTTTGCTAAGAACTTTTCATCAATTTCATCTCTTGATTCTACTAGCTGCGTTCTACCTGATATTGCCGACAAAAAGGCTTGACATTCGTACCACTCCAGCTTCTGTATCTAAAGTGATTTCCTGCATGGATACTTCTACAGCTTGTGGTCTAAACAACATACCTGTGTATATTCCGGTGTACACTACTGCAAGAAGTGTACACCTGTGTATGTCCGGTGTGTATACCTGTGTATGTCTGGTTTACACTTCTTGCAGAAATGTTCTCCGGAGCTTTTGTCTATACTTTCAAAACTATTTAATAAGTGCTTATCATAGTCTTGTTTTCCAGCATGCTTGAAAGTAGCATCTGTTATCCCTAAATCTGACTCGTCTAACTACGGTGTCATTAGTCTTTCTATGATAAGCAAGGTTTTTGAATCTATAATTAACAAACACTTAATCTCTCATCTTAAATCTAATAATTTACTTTCTGATCATCAATATGGATTTTGATCTTTCGTTCTACTGCTGATTTGTTAATGGTAATAACTGATAGGTTTTAACAGTTATTTATTTTTATTAAGGCTATCACTCTTGACGTTTCTAAAGCTTTTGATAAAGTTTGGCATGCTCTTTTTTAAGTGTATCAGGTAACATCTTTAAGATTATTGAATCCTTTCTTTCTAATCATAGTATAAAAGTTGTCCTCGACGGACAACACTCTTATTCATAACCTGTAACTTCAGGGGTTCCTCAATGTTTTATCCTTGGCCCTATAATATATTTTAAATTTACATTGACGATCTTTAGGTTATTCTCACATCTAAGGTAGCATTATTCGCTGATGATACTACAATTTATTCTTGTCTTTATAAGAAGCCATTATCGTCATTCAATTAAGTCTCATCCTTTTTCTGTCACTATTTCTAAGTGCTTTAAAAACTCTTATTTGTCTAGTTTTTTTCCTCGAACACCAGTTATTTGAAATTCGTTTTTCTTGGTTTCATCATTCATATAATTTGCAATCTTTCAAGTCGTCTATCAATCGTTATCTTGCTCTATAAAGTTCATCTTTTCTCATTTGGTAACTTTTGACTATAATAGTGATTTCTTGCAGCCTTTTTAGATGCGAAGATGTTGAAAAAAAAAAAAAAATTCATTAAATATATAATCTATAAATGGAATGAAACATTCTTCAAACGTTTCAAAAGGTGGATTCGCTCGATGAGATTGTTGGCTTGTGTGTACTCATGGCGTTACTAACTTTACACTTAATTTTTTTACAAGAATTAATGCATACTTATATTTGATTTTTCTTGCAACTTAACTATAGGCTCACAAAGGAACCACATAATTTGCTTTAGTATAACCAGTGATAAAATAAAATCAAAACTTCCAAATGCATTCTGAAAAGACAGTGATTGAAGTTAGTCTTCTTGGTCTATTCAATGTGTGAAATTAGTTTTGGTTTTGATACACCAAGTTAAGAAGTTCTGTTTGCTTTGCACTATTTTTCATCCATTTTGTAAACCATTTTGTAGTATTTTGCAAGAATGACTAATAACCAAATTTATTCTGACATACATAATGGGTGTATATTGCTTTTGGATAAATGCTCAGAAATTGGTCTTGATAACACCTGATAACGAACCTGCCACAATCATATCTTTGCCTCATATATTTTCAATACTCAAATTAAAGTCATATAAACTTTGCTTTATTTTAGTAAAAATATCTTTGGCTCTCACACACTCTAGCTTTACAAATGCCACAAACTCCTTGCATATCTCATGTTTCTTATCAACAAATTTTAGTACAAGGGATAGTTGCTGTGTGGTGAGAATTAATTGCATCTGCAAGGACAGAAAAATATTTTTTTAAATATATATTTTATTATATATCTAAAATCTTGTTACAATCTCTTATTTTCAACATAACCTTGCTGAGCTAAATCGTTGCGTGGAGAAACAAGTTAGGCATTATGAAAAAAAAAGGTAGACAACTCAGTTTTTTTTAAAACCTGCATAAGCCAATGAACATGTATGGTTAGGAAATTAAATACTTGTAAATATTTTGAGAATTTATCAAAATCATGTTTTTAAAAACTTGATACTTTTTAAAAATCTATTATGATCTATTAATAATTCTATAGTTGTGATAACTTAATAAAATAAATTTAAATACACACGCACACACACACACATACACACACACACACACACACATATATAAAAAGTTACCATTGTGCGATCCCCCTCTTCAGCACCACCATATCTATAAATAATTTCAAAAATTAAAGAACTGTTTTAATGACATTTCATGTTGTACTTTATAATTTATTTGCTTAATATATAAAACATAAAATAGAGCTAAGTACTAATTTTTAATTTATTTATGTAATATTTCAGTCTGATTAGCTCAGACCGTTGTCAGATGTAAAATAAAATACAATTGTATTTTATTTTACGTCTGACAATTTGATTTTTAAAAAAAGTACAAGGTTTAAAACAATCTTGTATGAATAGAAATAAAAGCATATTAAAAACAATAAAATAATAGTCAACAATGCTTTAAAAACATTTTCAAAATGAAATCGATATTTAAAACTATCAGATATATTAAAAAAAGAAAATTTTAGTTATAAACGTAGTTCTACGCTACAGCTCTTTGTCCTGCGGTACAGCTCAAATGAATAACAATGTTTCTTGCTGAAAAAGTCTGATTTAGAAATTTTTGTTAACTTATCTTAATTTCAGGGGATAGGGTATATAACCATATTTTTTAAAAATAAATTTGATGAAGCAAGGATGAAACAAGGGACACTGCATAAATAAAATGTTCTACTGTTGAATCAATCTCTTAATTGTGACAACCTATGTTGCAATGCATCAAAATATTGATCTTAATAATGTCAACCCAGATCATTTCACTTGGTCTGGGTTTTGAATTTGTTTTTAAATTACATTTAAAAAAAATTCAAAAATAAACATTCCTGAACCCCGAGTTTTGTTTTGCTGTTATAACAAAAACCTGAGTATTAGTTATAACAGCAAAACAAAAAAATTATTTTGGATTTAGATGGGTTCTTGAGGTTCCTCCTTGGACACAAAAAATTTGGTTTTAGTCCTAATATTAGTGAAAATTTTTTTTCCAGAACTATGACAAACGAGTACTCAAAAGAATAAAATATTATTTATTTTCATTCAAAATTAGAACTACATAAAACAGAACTTTTTTTCCTTAAAAATATATGTTTTCTATATAATATGCAAAAAAGCAAAAAATTTTAGTTTCATTTTTGCAATATTGTTTTTTAACAAAAAATCAGATAATAAAATTATTATTTTCAAAACCAGCATTTTTTGCATCTTCTGAGTACCAGGTTGGTTAAGAAAAAAAATCTAGATTCCTAGAGGAACCTCAAGAACTCATTATTAAACGGAAAAAAAAAACATATTTTTTTTTTTTACTAAAAGACAATAATTCGAAACACAGGCAAACTTAATTTCTAAAAATTTTTAAATTGCTCTAATGAATATATTTTATAAACACTTAGTTTTTTATACTTTTTGCGTACAATATGGGAATATACTTAGATCTAGATCTTTATTTTTTACCACATGTGCTATTGCCACAATAATTTTTTACTTTAGGAGGTCCTTCTCATACAAATAAAAATTAATTTTTTTTATATTTTTATTTATTCTTATTAATTATTTTATTTTTATTAAGCTAATAAGAGTAAGTTTTGTTAGCTTTTTTGGTTCTTTTCTACATTTTTTTCTCTACCCTTTCCAACTCTCTACTTCTCTACCCTTTCCAACTCTCTACTTCTCTATCCTTTCCAACTCTCTACTTCTCTACCCTTTCCAACTCTCTACTTCTCTACCCTTTCCAACTCTCTACTTTTCTATACTTTCCAACTCTCTACTTCTCTACCCTTTCCAACTCTCTACTTCTCTACCCTTTCCAACTCTCTACTCAGTTAAAATCTATGTATCTCTTTAAATGTGTTATAAATTCTTTTAGTTCAAATTATGTTAGAAAAACACTAAAAAACTAGAAAAACGAAACAAACCTGAAAAAAGCCATATAAATTATATTAAAGTATATATTAAAATATATAGAGACCATATAAAAAATATCTGTGGAAATGGTAAAAGGTGGTACTAATAAGTCATGGAAATGTTTTTGCTCCAAAACACAGATTTTTAATCATTATTATTATATTCAAATCCAAACTAAATATATAAAAACAAAAATAAATAATAAAAAAAGAAAATGGTTCTATCACTATGTGTGATGCATATATTTTATTAATTTTAGTTCTCTGACCAAAAAAACAATACAACTTTAATGTTTATAGAAAGATGATTTTTACCATTTTTTATACATTTAAAAGCTATGTTAAGTAAAAAAAAAGTGTTTAATTAGCAAAATTACTTTTTCATAAGTTCTATTCCATTTTTAAAAGCAGAAATAAAATCAACCAATTGATAAGTCTCCTTCAAACCACATGATATTCCAGTCATCAAAAGACTTAGTAACTAGAAAATATAATGGAACAATTTAATTCAAAATAACGTAAATGAATACAAAATTAAATAAAATTTTATTTCAGTTAAAAAACTTCAATTTCTAATTGAACCATATCTAAAGAATGCAAAACTAAGTAAAAAAAAAAAGAAAAAAAAAGGTAAACAAAGTACTGCACTAGAAGAAGAAAATACTAAACAAGATACTGCAACAGCAGAAAAAATAATAAACAACATACTGAACCAGCAGAAAAAATACTAAACAACTTACTGCACCAGAAGAACCTCCCATATGATTATCAAGTTCTATTGCAATAGCAGCAAAAAAATCCTTGGGTGAATTAACAGGTATTAAAACTTCTTTTTCTGACAATAGCTTTTTAAGAATAGCTAAAAAATAAAAAATAAAAATCAACAATCCTTTTCTTGAACATTCTTTGGGTTTTTTATGTAATGATTCTTATAAGAAAATTGAACAACTAAAATATAGTGAACAACCTAAAATGTTGCGAACAGCATCACATTGTAACAACACTGTTTACTTTTAAGTTGTAAACATTTCTTTTAAAATTATAATCATTTATAAAAGAACTATTATTATGCAATCATTTTTAAAAATTCAACTTTTGCGAGTAAAATTTTAATGTCTTATGTCTTAAAAAAAATAATAATAAGACTAATAAAGAGTTGCTGCAAAACTATTATAAACTATTATAAACTATTATAAACTATTATAGGTCTATTTTTTTGCAAAAAAACTTTTTTGGTTTAAAATACCTAATACATATAAAAAATAACTGAAAACAAATAGATTTAATCGAAAAAATCAAATGCAGTGATTAAATTTAAAACTTTCTGTCTTTTTCTCAGAACAGCCAAAACGGACTTAAGATGGTCTTGTTTTGCAGCGGTAATTTAATTTGTAGAATTTTATCATATTTTATATAGTTTTAAGATTATCTTAAGTCCATTTCCTTTGTTTTAAAATTTAAAGTTTCTCATAAACTTAAATTTTTAATTTGTTATATTATAAAAAATGATAACATTTTATTTAAGTATATAAAAACAATTTAATTTTTATATAGAAACAACACATGATGATTTTAAAACTTTACTTGTCTTTTTTATTTCAATATATATATATATATATATATATATATATATATATATATATATATATATATATACATATATATATATATATATATATATATATATATATATATATATATATATATATATATATATATATATATATATGTATATATATATATATATATATATATATAAATATATATATATATATATAATATATATATATATATATATATATATATATATATATATATATATATATATATATATATATATATATATATATATATATATATATATATATATATTTATCAATATTTCAGTCAATAAATGTACTTCTCATTTGTTCTACCTATTTCAGTTGATGTAAGTACATTCTGTATTAAAAAATATTTAAGTCAATTAAACTTGTTTTTTTGCAGTAATTTAAAAAAACTTTCATTCACAATTAATTAAATTGGCTTCTGACAAAAAATATAGAAGAATTAGACAAAAGTTTAATGATTTTTTTGTTTTGTTTTGTTATTCACCTCCTCAAGGCTGAGAAGGCCACTACAAACAAGGCCACTGCGTATATATATATAGATATGTAAAATAAATATATAACAAAAATAAAATATTTTTGGCTGAATCATGAAATAAATAAAACAAATTATGAAATAATTAAACATAAAGAAACTGACCATTTGCTCCTTGTGCAAAAGTTGTACCAGTATCACCATCTCCTCCATGACGATCTAACTCATTTAACAATTCAGCATTATCTTGCAATGTTTTGCATGCAGCAACACAGCATTGTGTAAGTTTTAAACCTTTAAAAATTAAAAAAAGTTTATAACTTAATATCTTTAATGTATCAAGTTTTTTATTTAATTTTTTATGCTTAGCAAAATGTTCTTGTTCCTAACCCTTTATTATACCAATATTCATATATAAAGGGATTACTATTTTTTAAGAGTACTCCATATTGCAAAACTCACTGATTCATTTTATAATGTAAAATACACTATTTTTTAAGCAGCCATTAAAATACACCATCTAAAAGTTGCCAGTTGTCCATTTTGCAGTATTATCTATTGTTAAATTATTTTATTAAGTAATTATTATATTCTCGTACTCCTTTACTTACTATATATATCAAATGATATTATCAACAATATTAAAAATCAATAATATACAAATTACTGTATTAATTAAAAACAAATTAAAAGATAACAAAAAAAGTAACACTCTTTAACTAACATTCTTTTTCAAGTAGAAAAAATCGTCTTTTGTTTATTAAATAATTAAAAAGTTGGTATACTATTGTGTCTTAGTGGCTAAATTGGTTAGCTCGCTGCGCTTCTAAAGTACAATGCTAGGGTTTAAATCCTGTCGCTTGCAGATAAATTATTTTTTTTAATTTTTTCCAATATTTTATAGTACAAAACAAAACATTTTTAAAGTTCTATTGATGTTGTAATTTTTTGGCAAGTGCTTAAAAAAGTGCCAGTCGTAGTATTGGCAGGCATGTGGACGAGCGCAAAACTGAAAGAGCGTGAAAACGTTCGTCAAACGGAGAAGACTGCGTGTTAAGCTAATGCATTAAGCATTTTTTATTTAAAACAAGGCACAACATATATAAAGATATTAAATACTATAACAAACAAAAGGTTTTTAATAAAGTTTAAAACTTCAATAAACATCAAAACAGCAGTAGATATTTTTTGCACTTATGTCACAATAGAGATTTAACTTAAGTTGTGCGCTTAGGTAATTAGTTAAGCTTGCGGGTTTAACATAAATTAAATAGACAGCTTTTTTTCTTGTGTGAAAAAAATTTTTACATTACATTTTTAATAAAGAAAACAATTTATAAGTCTGTACTGTTTCTTTTTTTTTTATAGAAGACTACAATTTTTTAATATGAAGTTATAAAGTACTGAACATTAATTGTTAACTAAAAACAAAAATTTGACAGGTTTTTATTTTCTACCACTTACTAAAAATTATTAATTATGTAAGAGAGTATTTTAAATAATATTTAGAATACCTACTTCGAGTACTAATATCTGAATCACCGATAAATAGGAGTTCGCACAACAACTGCCAAAGCATTTAAAATTTTAAAGTTAATAGTATTATAAAAAATTATTTTTTATTACTCTAAATAGTATTTAATATGAATAGTTTACACACACACACACACACACACACACACACACACACACACACACACACACACATACACACACACACACACACACACACACACACACACACACACACACATACATATAAAATTATTTTTATAGCGCTTACTATAAAATATTGGAGTAAAGAATAAGTATAGAATGTGTAGTAGGTGATCGGTGTAGAATAGACTTAGCAAGACTTGTATTTTACAAGTGCTGAGAGCTTGAATAATTCATGCAGAAAATAATAAAATAATAATAACATAAAATAATACTATGGCCTTAATAAAAGCAGAAAAATAAATAAAAAAGCAGCCTTCTTAACTGTTCTCACCACCAGCCTTGGGAAGATAAATATGTAAAAAATATAAAATAAAGCATTAAAAAAAGACATAGATTGATGATTAAATGGCATGTGGCATTATGTGGCATGATTATAAAAGATAAAAAAAAAGAATAAATCATAGACAAAGATTGAGAACAATAAGTGTATCTAATAGAACAGATCATGAAAAATGAAGATAGTTTGAACATAGCTTAAAAAATTAACTTTTATAAAGCAATAAATCTCTTTCAACCCTAAAAAAACACAAATTTTTACAAATAGCACAGCACAGAAAAGATGATAAAAATATTATTGTTTATTATATTACACTTTCAATATAATATTTAAAAACATTAACTCAAATAATATTTAAAAACAAATTTAAATTTTGTATAAATATATATATAAGCATTAATTAAAAATACCGATCCCAGAAGGCTCATAAATCTCTAAAGTTTTATCAAATTGCATGCAATGATCCATTTCTATATCTGTATTTATAAAACCACTTTTAGGCCAGGCTGCAGCATTAGTTGTCAAATCTAAAAATTTAAACCACTACAATTATTATTACAGATTAAAATACACAATAAATGAACCCCTAAAAACTTTTAGAGCATATATGAAAAATATACATTGAAAATACTACATATAAAACTAGCTTTTAAAAGTTATTTTTAGAAAGAATTCTTAGTCTGTGCAATTCTGCAAACAAACAAAAAAATTTAAATTGAAAATTTTTGACCCTTATTACCAAGTTTTTTTTTTTTAAACTTGTGCTTTGTTCATTGCTGATGGTATTTTACTACATGTCATTGTCATAATTTTATTGAAATTTTAAAACACCTTTATAGTTATTTATATACTTGGACTAAACCAAAAAATTATAAAAAAATTATAATAAATTGAAATATTATTGTACTAAATATTTGATTTTCATATTAAATTTTGATTTGATACTATATATAAAATGATATTAAATTTTTTATGCATTTGATGCAGTTTTATTTATATTTTATATATTTACTTTATGATTTGAAATTGCTACTCATATTAAACAAGCTTGAGTTTCAAAATTTTGAAAATTGTTTAGGCTTATTTTCAAAAAAATATCATAGCATATCATTAGTTACTTTGAAACATTACTTCTATACAATGTCATTAGTTACTTTGAAACATTACTTCTATACAATGTCATTAGTTACTTTAAAACATTACTTCTATACAATGTTAAAGATTGCTTAATACAATTTTTTTTATCAACATCACTATTACCAAATATTAATTTTTTATCACATAACTGGTTTTTTATTCTTTTAAAAAATAAAATTAAAAATTTAACTCACTAAGACATGGTTATTAATTGAAGCATTTAATTTATAATAGTTTGTTACCACTTTTAAATAATTCGACTGTAAACTAAATTGATTAATATATTTTCTAAAGTCGACTAAAATCAACAAATACACTTTTGCAATTGACCAAGTCAACTAAAAGTCAGTTCAGTTAAAATATGGTAATAAATGTTTTTAAAAATAAACTTTAACAAAATTAATAAAATAAATTATATTTGCTTTCAATTTTATAAGCCAGCATAGAATGGCCCTTGGAGTGGCCCTGTATTTATGAAAATTACAAGCAAAGAGTAGGTTAACCAAAAACCATAACCGAAAATTTAATTAGGTATAAATATTGCTAACATGCCATGAAACAGATAGAACTTTAGGATAATGAACAAAAAAAATAGGGAATAATTATAATAGTACATACTATTGTTATTGAATGAACAAACAAAAATTCAAGATTGAAAAAATTAAATCAAATAAAAAGATAAAAGGATTTTAAGATTAATCGACTAATAACTTTAACTAGTTGATTTAGTCAAAAGTTTTTAAAAATTTAGTCAATATAGAACTTAAACTAGTTGATTTAGTCAAAAGTTGGCTAATAATTGTTAATCCGAAGTTGGCTAATAACATTTAGTTCAAAGTTGGCTAATCACTGTTAGTTCAAAGTTGCATAATAACTGTTAGTCAAAAGTTGGCTAATAATTGTTAGTCAAAAGTTGGCTAATAACCGTTAGTCAAATAAATAAATTTGAGAACACTAATTTATAGCTATTTCACACATCAGGTTTTCTTATGGTTTTTTCGGTCTTTACCTAATGCAATTCTTAAAAAGTATGTTCATGTTTTATGTTTTCTACTATCATATATTTTTGAGGCAAGGTTGACATCAAATGCTTTACCTAATCAATGTTGCAAAGCTTTTATCTCTCCAATTTTTAAAAACGGAGCTTCATCGGATCCTAACAACTATAGACCTATCTCTTTAACTTGTACTTGTTGTCGAATCATGGAAAAAATTATCAACTCACATATTGTTGAGTATCTAAATAATTATAACGTAATATCTCCTAGTCAGCATGGTTTCCTCAATAAGCGTTCTATGTGTACGAATCTTTTAGAATCTACTAACGATTTAAGTATCACACTTGACAATCATTGGTTAAAGATTTTATGTATATTGACTTCCAAAAGGCATTTGATTCCATATCTTGTTTAAAACTATTATTTAAACTTTCATTATACAATATTTGTCTACTAACAATTGAAGTATCACACTTGACAATCATTGGTTAAAGATTTTATATATATTGACTTCCAAAAGGCGTTTGATTCCATATCTTATTTAAAACTATTATTTAAACTTTCATTAAACAATATTCGTCTACCAACGATCGAAGTATCACACTTGACAATCATTGGTTAAAGATTTTATAAATATTGACTTCCAAAAGGCGTTTGATTACATATCTTGTTTAAAACTATTATTTAAACTTTTATTATACAATATTTTTCGTAGCCTTGTAAAGTGAATCTCTGCATTTTTCACAAACAGATCTCAACAGGTAAAGATTGGTAGCGTTTTATCAGATCCGATTCGAGTTGTTAGTGGTGTACCTCAGGGTAATGTGCTAGGACCAACTTTGTTGGTAAACAATCTCAAATGTACAATAAAACTTTTTACAGTATTATTTGCATAGTATTAATTTTAATTACAATTTAGGTGATTGTATTTTAGATTGGTCATCTAACCCAAAGGATCTTGGAGTAACTATGGACTCCCGCTAAAACTACAAAAACACATTGCCAGAGTCATTCATGTAGCAAGTACTAAAGCATAGCTAATCTTAGAATGTTTTAAAACTCACAATTCTAGTATATTAGTATGTGTATTTACCACCAATTATTGAATATTGTTCTCCAGTTTGGTTGATTTTGTGAACCAATTTTTTTAGTTCAAAAAAAAAATTGCTAATCTTAGTTGTTTAAGTTATTCTAGTCGTTTACAGCTGCTTGGTTTTGATTCTCTGGAGCTCAGACGTTTAAAACATGATATAGTTATATGTTTCAAAATTATGCATAACTTGGTTTGCATAGATAAAAGTTTGTTTTTCAAAATTAACAATAATAAACATACCAGTGGTCATACTTATAAGATTCGCAAGCAACGATATCAACTCACCATTTGCAAATATTGTTTTTCTCAATAAGTTGTAAATATCTGGAATATTCTGACTTTTATATATAGAAACTTTTATATAAAATATGGATATAAAATTAATACTTGGGTATTATTACACCTTCCATTAAATAGACTTTTTTTTTGTACTCTTTGTTCAAGATAAAATATTCTTGACATGGTATCTTTTATTGGTCATTAACATGTTACTTACTGACTGCCCATCCAGATTTGCAGAACTCAACATTAGTCCACCCCTTTGATTACACTTATATGGAATCATTCAAACCATTAATCACAGCTATTATCATTATATCACCTGCTCAATATTGTGGTGATTATGAAAATCAATACAAATTTATTGTAGAGTTGAAATAGAGGAAGCTATTTGAAAAGTTCAAAAGTAATTCCATTATAATAAACTCATTAGGTTGTGATACAAGGAAGGCTTAATTAAATTTGAACCTATTCAAGTTACATTAACTTATAAACAAAGATCAAAACTAAAATGGTTTACAACAGAAACTTCTATCATGAAAAAAAGATCAACCTTTGGACTAAACTGCCAGCTTGCGCATAGCTCATTTATAGACATTTATTTACAAAGCATAATGTATTTTCTACCTGAGAAAATACATTATGCTTTCATTCCCTCCCTAAGAAAAAATTGGCATGGACTTGATAAAATTTTTTATAAAAGCAGAATGCTTAAATAAAAAATATAAATCTTCCTTCTCTAAAGTTGATCAGATAAACAGGTTTAGATTTCCAAGCAGGACTATGTCATGTATACAACATTATTCAATCTGCACATAATGAAACTGCTATTTGCTCTTGCAAAGTCAGTTGAAGAAACACAAAACAAGTGACCCATATGGCAAAAGTCCAGGTATTTTCAATGAATGTGCTACTGAATTAGCATGGTTTATTTCTTTACTGATATTACCTTTATTTTGAAACTAAATACTTGGAAAAAAGCAATCAGTGCAATAAAAAAAAAGCAACAATCTCATTAATGGCCATAATATGTAACACCAAGGACTGTTGAAAAAATATCACCTTGTTAAATGAAACTTGATCTAGAAGTGCCAACACAGTTTTATCACCATAAATTTTAATGTATGATACATTATAATTTATGATGAAGTTTAGATATTTAGATATTACATTTTGGCAAGTTTGATTCAAAAAACTGAACTTATGTTTTAAAATAAAACCATATTGCTTTTTATGCCATGTTATTGCATAATAAGCTTAAAATGGTAGCCTAAAAATATTTACCTAAATAACTCAAGCGTTCTGGATTGGATATCATAATGGTTAAAGAAACACCAACCATATCCAGAGAAGTCACAAAACTACCAACATAACTTCGAATTATCGAAACATTCAGTGATTCTAAAATAAACAAAAACATCTACACTCCATTTGCTTAATTTAGAAAAGAAAAAAATTAAACATGAATTTTGTAAAATATACAACAAAACGAAAAAAATAGTCCAAACGAAAAAAATAAGTCCAAAGTAAATTATATATATAAAAAAAAAAAAAAAAAAAATACAAAAGAAATTTTTAATTTTCAAATTATTTAAAAATTTTTTTTTGCTGTTGCTAATAAAGTAGTTTGAAACTTTTTTTAAAGATAGAAAACAAATCATACAAGGTAAAGTAGTTTTTGTGTAAGGCAAGGTGTTTCAATGTAAAGTAGTTACTCTTTTACTTACGCAGAAAACTTTGAATGTAACTTGAAACATTATGCAGATAATACAAAGTTAATTAGGTTAAAGATAAATATTTTGTTAAAGTATTTTGAAGCTTTTCTTAAAGATAAAAAATATATATAAAGTTAAAGATAGAGATGATATTGAATCATTACAATCAGCTTTATATGAAGCTGTTGAATGGTCAAAGGTATGGTTTGTTAAATTTAATGCTGACAAGTGTGTAGTTATGCATATAGGTAATAAAAAATGTTAATTATGAATAATTTATGGACAATGAATCATTCCTAAAAAAAAAAACTTCAAAAGAGAATTTCATTTTCCACTAACTTGCTAAACTTAAAAAGTACTTTAAAAGCAAATAGAATAATGAGGTTGCTGAAGAAGACATTTTCTCAAATAATGTTCATATGCTCAAGTTATTGAACACAACTTTTATTTAATCCCTTATCAAATTTATAGTGCCAGTTTGGTCTCCTTACTTTAAAAGTGAAATTGAGGCTAGAGAAACAGTGTAAGATTATGCAACTAGAATTGTTCTTTCCTTGAGAAATTTTAAATATGACTCAAGGCTTGAATTAATGTAGAAAAGACTAAACAAGAAAAATCTTAAACTTTTTTTTTTTAAATACCATTTTTTTAAAGTAGAAAATGTTTCTTTTAGTTTGTAATTGCAACTTTTTTTAACATGATACCTCGTAATATTTTCGTTTGGTGGGGTTTATAATAGTATAAGTCATTGTTATAATTTATAACTTAAGTTATAATTTAAAGCTTAAGTTGCAGTTATAGTGTGATGAGCAAGTAATGTATTAAAAATAAATTTAGCACACAGTATTACTTTTAGTAACAAATATTACAATATTTAAACTACTTTAAACAGTTTTAAAAAATTATTTAAAATGCTGTTCATGCTGACGATAAAACACATTTTATTTTAAAAGCGTATCTTTATATGTCGTGTTTGTAAAAATTTAAGCAAAGCCTTAGTTGAGCTATAAAGATTATATTTTATGATATTAAAATTGTCAAAGAAGATATCATTGATTATAAAATTATTTAATGCTTGATTGTCTATAGAAAATATCCAAAGTTTTTGCTTTTAAAAGTCTTGATGAAAAATCTATATTTCGGTTGAAAGACCATTGCCAAAAATTTATACTACCCTGGAATTAAAAAATGAGGTACTTCATTTTCATTTGTTTTGAAAATAAGCATTTTTCGAATATTAATCTATCGTTTTATATTGTTACTAGAATTTAAATAAATTTTACTATTTTTGAGAATCCAATTTTTCCGATATATTTTTAAAATTTTCTTCATAAAAATCATTACTCTTATTAAGCTGTTAGTGATAGTTACATGATGTTAGTGATAGTTACATGATGTTAGTGATAGTTACATGATGTTAGTGATAGTTACATGATGTTAGTGATAGTTACATGATGGTTTGTATGAAGGATAGTTCTGGAGACAAGAATCATTTTAGTTGGTTAGCTTTTTCTGATGTTATAAAGAAAAAAGACAGTGAAGTTGTGAAATTCTAGTGCCATTTCCTTTAAAACAGCATGGAGACTATCATTAAAAGTAGTTAGAATTTATGACTTAAAACAATGGTGTAATTAAAAAATTTTTATACTTCAGAAATAACACATTTAAGTCTTGTGCAAACTCCAAACTTAAGTATGTTCACGCATATGTCAAATGAGAAGGTATTAGAAACTCTAAACTTAATTATATTCATGCATATGTCAAATGAGAATGTTTTGCATACTTAAGTATGTTCATGCATATGTCAAATGAGAATGTTTTGCATACTTAAATATGTTCATGCATATGTCAAATGAGAATATTTTGCATACATAAGTATGTTCATACATATGTCAAATGAGTATGCTTTGCAAACTTAATTATGTTCATGCATATGTCAAATGAATGTTTTGTAAACCTATGCATATGTCATACATATGTCAAATGAATATTTTGAAAACCTGTTTTAGAATGTTTTGCAAACCTAAGTATGTTCATGCATATGTCAAATGAGAATATTTTGCAAAAAATTGCAATAAATTTAAAACCTGTCAATGAATTGAAAAATGTATATTTTATTAACTTGTTGCCCTCACAATTAGGGTAGTTGGGGTGTTTCTTTTGGGGTATTTTTGTTCCAATGCTCCAAGAAGCTTTTTTAATGGGGCTCAATGACAAGGCTAATTTATGCCTACTTCTACTGTAATTACTGTAAATTTCTACTGTAACTATGCTACTTTAATTATCTTTTAAATGTGAAATAAACTAATTATTGCAATTTTTTGCAAAGTAAAAAAAAACTTTTTCTTTTGTATTAAACATACTTAAGTTTGGAGTTTGCATAATGCTTGAAAATAGCATTTCTAAAGTATCAAAAAATCTTATCTAAGCCACTGACTCAAAACACCGACTCAGACATATTAAGAAATAATTTTTTTTAGCATTAAAAAAACGGATTAATTATGGATTAATAGAAAATCTATACATTCAATTTTGGGACTATTCTCGTTTACCATAATAGCTGATTTTTAAACACAAGTTAAAACATTTTTTGACAGTTAGGTGGCTCATAAGTATTTTTGTAAGCAATAACCTATTAATTTTTTTAAACCATTAAAATTACAATGGAATACCTTTTCCCAGTGCTGAATTTAGGCATAGGCTCACTAGGCTGCAGCCTAGGCCCCTGCCATTTTGGGTTTTTAACAGAGTGTTTTGTGAATCATTTACAATCACATCTCAATTATTTTTTGAGTGTATTCGAATTGTTTTGTTGTTCAACCTTTTTGAGTTTTTGAGTAAAATTTATTATTTCTTTATCTAGTTTGTGGTAGTGGTGTAGTGGTAAAACGCTTGTTTTATAAGCGAGAGGTTCCGAGTTTGATCCCCACCACGTCCCTGGTAGTACTGCGCTCAACTTGTTTCTCCGTGCAGCGGCCTTGTTTGTCAAGGTTCGTGTTTCAGAGTTATAGAGTTGAGAGATAATTTGAATAAGAGAACTTTAGTAGGCGAAAAAGAAAAAGAAAAACATTTTAAATTCTCTTTTTTTTAATTTTTTTTAAATTCCTAAAAACAACATTCATATTTATAGAAAATGTTTAATCTTGATATTGCTATAAATAAATAAATAATATATATATATATATATATATATATATATATATATATATATATATATATATATATATATATATATATATATAAAATACTATTGCCTTTTCAATATTCTATTCAAAATTTCTTGTTAAAAATATTTTTAGTTAAAAGCTTGTGTTTAACAACATGTAAGATATAAATAGAAACATTTGTACGTCTAACTTTTACAAGTAATTGTCTTTAAGCATATTTTAACTGCTTGTTTTGATTTAGTTTTTAGGTAAATTTACTTTCATAAAAAAAATCACTAAACTAATTGCAAACTATTTAAAAACGAATAGCAAAGGAGCAAAAAGCAAACACCATTCACAATTGGACTTAATTTGAGTACTGTGACTTTAAGTTAAAATGTCTTAAGCTCACAAATCTTTACATTAGAAGAACAAGAAATATTTTAATTAAAAAAAAAAAGAATTGGTTCAAGTATATATATAAAAAAATGGTTTAAAAGATGTTTAACTGATAAACTTAAATTAAAAGCATTTCAATCTAACATTCATATTTCATATGAATGTTAAAAAAAAAAGTTTTTTGCTTGGTTAACTAATGATATAATCACAGCAGAAATGTATTTTATTGCATGCTATTATATGACCAAGCAAATAATACTTTATTTTGACAATTTGACCACAGTTTTTAATATTTTAAAAATGCGCTGAAAAAAATTATTTTTAATTACGCCAAAAATAAATAACTTTGAAACTTTTATCTTTACTAACATTTTTATATTAGCGAAATGCTTTTAAATAAAGTAACGGTTACTGTTAACGTTTTAATTTAAAGTATAGATAAAAGTTGTATAAGTTTTTATAATTAATCTTATTTATTTTTTAATTATTTAAATTTTATAAGCGACGACTTTAAATAATGAATTAATAAACTTTATTTAAGAGTCATTAAAGTTAATACACTCATAAAAGATTTTGTTGAGAAGAAAAAAAGACAAACTTTTGAATTAAAGACAGCCATTTGAATTAAATAACTTTGATTTTTACTAAGGTTTTTATATTATTAAAACGGTTTTGAATAAAGTCACAATTCACTGCTAATGATTTCTTACATAAAGTATAATGTATATAATTTCTTTAGTCTTTAAATAAAAAATTTATTGATTAAAATTAATATACTCGAAATATAACAAGTTTTTTTTGCAAATGTAAGTTAAAAAATATATATAAAATTTTTTATAATAATTTTTTTTTCTTTAGACTTTAAATAAAAAAATTTATCAATTAAAGTTAAATTAAATTATTAACAATTTAAATCAAATTATGAATTAAATGAATTTTTGTGAAATGCGTTTACAAAAAAAAAAAGCGTTATTAAAAAAAGTTTCATCGTTAAGTTTAATTGTTTTTTAAAAAAATACCAATTATGCGTGATGATGTTTTCTATAAAAACAAAAGTGTTTATTTACATTTTGTTGTCAATTAGTACTATTTATTTTTTTACTATTAATATAATTTTATATGGTGCGTTAACAAAGCAGACAGGACACTACAAGTTTTACATTACAAAAAAATTTTTTTATTTCAAACGTAACTATCTTATTGTTTATTATTTATTTTAATAAAGTTTTGTTTTTATTTTTTTTATTTTTGTTTTAGTTATTTATTACTAAGCTATTTTTATTTTATCTTTCATTATTTTTTTTAAAAAGATTTTTTTTCTTTTTTTAAAATAAGTTTTGTTTTTTTAGTTTCTTTATAACTAAGTTAAGCTATCAGCGCTTTATCAAAAAGTTAAAACCGTGGTCAAATCGTTAAAACAAAATATTATTTGCGTGGTCATATAAAACCGTGAAATAGAATGCCTTCCTGACCAAGCCACTTATTATTTTTATAAGCCACTTATTATAAGCCTGCTACTTATTATTTTTTTTATTTTCACATTTTTTATATTCATTTAATTTTTTTTATTTTATCTTAGTTACATTACATGTTTCCTCTCTTTTTTATGTTTTTGTGTCAATCTTTTGAAATGTTTGTAACTAAAAAAGTAGTTATTTTATTTTGTAAAATTATACTTTCACTTCATTCTGTAAAATTATAATGAATTCATTTTTATAGCTTATAACCAAAAGGAAAAAAAATATTTCAGAAAAATACCTAGATAATTAAATGTTTCCTTTGCAACAATTGATAACTCCAAATTTGACAATGCTCCAAGGTTGTTGACAATAAGAATTACACAAGTTCCTTGTAAAATTTTAGATATTTAATAATAATTATAAATTATTACAATAAATAAAAATAAAATTATCATAAATTAAAATCATAAATTAAATATCAAATTTAATCAATCAACAAAAATGAAATTCATTTAGTACCTTGAGTTAGTTCAAGGTATTTACTTTTCATATGATCAATCATTTTTCTAACCAAGTTATGAGTTGACTCCAACTTAAAAAAAAAAAAAATATGCATATATCTATCTCTCATATACGCTACTGTATATGTATACATATAAAAAGTAGTATATATGAGAGAGAGAGTACTAATATATTCCACATTGGTAAATAAACAAGTACAATACAAAATATCGATGAATGAGATTAGCACTATTGATCTCATTAACAAACGAAAACAAATCCTTTATGCAGAACTCAGAAGGTATAAACAGGTTTAATAAATCACGTAGAAATTTTGAAACAAAGAAATTTTGCTAGGTTATAATTATATATATTAATAGATGAGACTAACAATCTGAAGTACATTATTTAATTTGATGAACAGTATTTAGGCATTTTCAGAAGCCCATAGATGCATTCAGGAAGTGATCCTGTAGAATAATGTTTGTTATAAACAGTTTATCAAAGAAAACCTTTACTTTTGAGCTTTTATAAAAAAATTTTGAAGTTTTGTTTCTCTATTGATGGTGACATCTTTTTTGAAAAGTTTAAATTTTGTTTTATCAACTATGATTCTGTGTATACCTGTGTCATAAGTTTTCCGATATACCTGTGTCAAAATATTTGTTACAATAAGACCGTGGCCTTTATCAGTTTAAAAACAACAATATTGGGGTTTTTGTTGTTTTTAATTGTGTGTCATAAGTTGTTTATATCCAAAACCAATAATTCCATTTTTTGCAACGATTTTTAATAAAAACACATACTTGTTTCACACATACTTTAGACTTTATATTAATTTTAGTTTTACTTCTTTTGCATATAAGGTTTCAGAACAAAATTTCAAAATTAAGAACACTAAATCTCGTTTTCATTCTGATTTTTTAACCTTTTAAAAACATTTAAAAAAAAACATGTACTCAACTTGGCTTCTTGATAAAATGTACACATCTTATATAACCAAATGTTCTTTTAAAATATTATCTAATGTTCTTTTAAAATATTACCTAATGTTCTTTTAAAATATTACCTAATTTTCTTTTAAAATATTACCTAATGTTCTTTTAAAATATTACCTAATGTTCTTTTAAAATATTACCTAATGTTCTTCTAAAATATTACCTAATGTTCTTCTAAAATATTACCTAATAGGCAAAATTTTAGATATTACTAAACAAAAGTTGGAGTTTAACCCATTATAAAAAGATACTGTCTACTGGTTTTTGTAAAACTTGTTTTCACTTTACTTAAAACACCTCAATTTTTTTTTAATGAAGATCCACCTTCCTAATGAACTCAAATCTTTCATAGTTTACAAATAAGTTTGTGCAGAATGTAACTCCTGTTAGATTGGCAAGACATCTTGTCATTTTAAAATTCATATATTTGAACACTATGGGAGGGATAAAAACACCCTTACATATAGAAACCTTCATTCCAATAAAACATGCTTTTCTAAATTTAGTAATGAATATTTTTCAATTCTAGATGAAGCTGTAACTAAAAGTAAGATTGTGTACATAGAGGCAAAAGCCAAATATGTACAAGCAAGTCAGTCATGTCTGAGTGACAGTGATATTTGTACATATATACATGATTATTCCAGATATTGTTTAATGTTTAACATTATGTAACATCAACTTAAAGTAGTTTCTAGGCTTTTTTAAAGTAGTTTCTAGGCTTTTCTAAATGCATTTCTTTATTCCATGCGGTCTTTCAAGCAATGTCTGCAAGCAAATTAGAGCTGATAAAATTTTTTTAGTATTCAAGAAGAATCAATGTTTATTTTAAATTTTTACAATAAAAATATGAAAAAATCTTTAAATCTAAATCATAATTTATGTGCATGCTTAATTTATGTGCAATTTATAATGCATAATTTATGTGCATGCAAGTTGATACCTGTTTTTAAAAAAAAGCAAAGATTGTATAACAAATCCATTTTATATTTTAACTAAAAAACTATAAATAAGGAACTGTCATAAAAAATTGAAAAAAAATTGTTTAAGTTTTTTTAATACAATCAAGTTAAAAATAAGTTTTAGCAAAATAAAATGCAAAAATTACTTTGTGCGATTAAATTCTGTTCTCACTAATCGTACAAAACTGTTTTATTGATAATTTGGTATTGTTTATAATTTTTTTAATTAATAAAATATCAATTTTATTATTATTATTTTTTTAATATTACATAATTATAATATAATTTTATTATTGATTTCTTTTTTTAGCCATTAACAACATTTAAATGAAATACTACTCAAAAAAAACTTGTTATAGGCTTGGTTAAACAAGGTAATACTTATAGAAAAGTTAAAAAACTTACAAATATTCCATTTACAACAGTAGGAGCTATTGTAAAGAAATACCAACAATATGAAACATTTTACATTCATTCTGAACAAGGACAAAAGCTGAAGACAACTTCAAAAGATTATAGAGAAATTTAAGAATGATAACAAAAAATTGATTCAAAATGGCAAAAAACATAGCAAATCATCTGAAAAACTTAACAGGAAACACAATTTTACTTACATCAATTAGAAACCGCATTCATAAAGCAGGTTTCAGAGGATGTATGGCTTGTAAAAATCTTAAAAAAAAATCGTATGAAAAGAAGAATGAATTTTGCAGAAAAGTATTAATACCACTATCATTTTGCAAAAATTTTCTTCGGTCTGATGAATCCAATTTTAACTTAAAAAAATCTGATGGTACACAGTTTAGTGCAAGAGGGGGAAGCTTTTAATTTAAGTTGCACAAGAGGAACATTGAAACATGGCAGCGGAAGTGTTTTGGAACCAGTTTATTAAAATAAATGTGAATTTTTTCATTTATTTTAATAAACTGGTATTTATTCTTAGCTTTAACTTGTAACACTTTTTTTGTACAATTATTTTATGTGCAAGTTTTTTATTCTCTTGTTTTAGTTTAAAATTCCTAATCAGGAAATTTAAAAGTGTAGAGAAAAATTTTACTTTTTTTTTTTTAAGGTTTTTTATCAAATGAAAAATTTGACAGTTCCTTATAATTAATGCATGATAAAATAAATTATTCAAAGGTGGTTATTTTATTTAAAAATTACTTTGTATGATTAAATTCTGTTCTCACTGTATCATATATATTTTAAAGTAATAGCATTTAATTTTTTTTTTTAATATATATATTGGTTTACAAATAGTATTTTGCATTATTGTTTTTGCTTTTTCAAATACTTTAACAAAATTGTTTTATAGATACAAAACAAAATAAGATTCAACTTTGTGTTTCTGTTTTTATTACCAAATAACATTTTTGTTATTAGGATTGCAGGTTTTTGTTGATTTTTATTTGAACATTATTACTTGCTATCTCTCTTTTTAATATTTTGAAAATATGTTTTTACAACATTAGAATAATACTTTTATTCAATTTATTTGCTTTTTCTTTTTTTTTAATAATGGTGATTTATGAAAGTTACTTATTTTATTCATTATGTTCACAAAGAGTAGTAGTAATTCTAAAGAAAAAATCACAAAGAGCGGAAATAAAGTAATTCTAAAGAAAAATTCTTCAGATTCTTTTGGGTTTATTTGTTACTTCAGTAGTAATAATAACTGTTAATATTATTTAATGATAATAGTGAAATTGAAATGGATGATATTATGTTTGAAGAAGCTATTAGTAGAAATACTAATAGGCAACTTTAAAATAATTGATGGTGAAGTAAAAGTAGAACTAAGTGAGCTGAAATTTTTTGTCATCAAAATGTAAGAAATGCTGCTCAGCAAGAAGAAATTAATTTAAACCTAAATTAATACAATGCTGTTAGGTTGTTGAAAATAATTGTCACAAAAACAAAAGATAAAATTAATCGTCTACAAAATGTACAATATGCTGCTAGAAAAGGAAGAATGTATAATATATCAAAAAATAATACTATTCTAGATTACAATTATTTAGAAGACATGAACCAGATTTGTCAGATTGTGGTGCTAAATATTTTTTGATGAAACACATTTTTATTTACCATAATGCTTTCATTTTTTAATGACCATGTTTAAGAAATGTTTTAAGGGTTACTTACTAATTCATGATTTATGAATCCTAGTTATTCTTACAGATTTTTTGAATAGAACTTAAAATTTTTTTAAATATCAATAAGTAATAATTGCTGAAAGATTGGTCATATTATTTGATTATAATAATTAAATTTTAATCCACTTAATATTGTGTTCTTAATGTTGTGTGCCTGCTGTTATAACGGATTTTAAAAAGAAACTATGTTTAACTAAATCAATAACTAAAAACAAAGACAAAAAATAAGCGAGCAAAACTAAAAAGATTATATATAGATAAATTTAAAATTTTAATATATATCATATAATATATCAAGTTAAATTGTTATTAGTGATTTATTTACTAATAACCTGGGTTGCTTACTGCTTGTATATTTATAAATACATATATAAAAAAATGTCATTATACCTTGATTTGTGCAGCACCAGGTTCACCATGAATACCTTAATGCAAAAAAGTCTCACTATTTAAGTAATTATATAAACTAAAATTAATTTTCTTATAAAATTTATTAAATATCTAATTACATATTTGAATATCTGGCAAGGCAGAGTGGGGCAGGTGGTGGACAAAACCATAAAAAAAATTATTATATTCAAAATTATATAATAAAACAAATTCGTAATACACTATTGCCCTATTTTAAAACTTGTTTGGAGTATAATAGCATCTTTTAAAACCATAAAAACTAGTTGCGGTTGCATAAATAATAATTTTTTTTTTTTTTAACAAAAAAAAGTAGGAAATTTTTAACTTTTATGCATAGCTATAGTAAAAGTAACTTTTATAATTCTATGTGTATACAGAATTTGTTTATATATATTATCTTTTATAATTCTATGTGTATACAGAATTTGTTTATATATATAAACTTTTTAAAAAATATATAAAATAAAAATCAGCATTTATAACACTCAATATAAACTGGCTTTAAAATAGCGAGGTAAAATTTTAACGTTTAATAATTTTGTACAAAAGGTGTCACATTTAAAAATATAAAATATGACAATAACTCATATTATAAAATATGACAATAACAATTAAAACACATGTCAAAAATTTTAAATTATATCAAAATATAAAGAACCAAGGGGAACCTATAATAAGTGCTTGAACTAGTAAATGCAATATGTATATAGCCAATTTGAATTATATACATTCAGGGTCGGCGCCAGAGTATTTGGCACCCTAGGCGAATCTGACACACTGCGCCAACTTACTTTCACAAAGGAATGCTTAAGTTATGTTATTAAATTTTGTTTTACATTTAAAAGAATATATACATGCATAATCTTAAATAAACATATATTCGTGTAACTATATAATATATTAATAAATAATTCCAAAACTTCACTTTTCGCGCTTTTGTTTTTGCAAATGTAGAAACAAGTTCCGTTATTTCAATGTTTCTAGCAATATCATGTTCACTTGACAGAGTAGCTAACCCAGCAAGTCTTTCTTGCTGCATAGACATTCTCAAAAATGTTATTATCAGTTTGAGTTTTAAGAAGTTTGCTCACTGTTAGCCATGAAAACTGGAAGTGTTAAGAGGATTCTTAAAGCTATAACAGTATTGGGGGCACAATGTGTTAGATTATTTTTTAATATAAAATTTAGTAAATCTAGTGGCAATGTACACCTTGCAAACATGCTAAAATTGTCTATAAATGAGTAATGAAATATTTGTAGTAATTAATACAATATTTGAAATATTGTATTAATTACTACAAAATTTCATTCTGCATAAAAAGTATAAAAAGAAAAAAGAAATCGCAATAAAAGAAAAGTATCAAAGTTGATACTTTTGTTTTAATTGACGCGATTTGACTTGAGTTTTATTTGACTTGAGTTTTATTTGACTTGAGTTTTATTTGACTTGAGTTTTATTTGACTTGAGTTTTATTTGACTTGAGTTTTATTTGACTTGAGTTTTATTTGACTTGAGTTTTATTTGACTTGAGTTTTATTTGACTTGAGTTTTATTTGACTTGAGTTTTATTTGAGTTTTATTTTATCTAAATTTAATTCAAAAGTGATTTGAAAAAGATTTTGGCAATGTTTTCAATATATTTATTTTTTATGTAGCAAGTTTTAGTGATGCCCTAGAAAACTTGCTGCCCTAGAAAACCTGCCGACCTAGGCAGCCGCCTAGTTTGCCTTGTGATTAAACCGGCACTGTATACATTGCTTCTAGTTTACCCTTTTGGGTTTATTTAATTTTTTAAAATAATGAATTTTACCAAACAAAAATACATGTTTCTTTGTTATTTAATTCAATACAAATTATGTTTATGTTTTTTTGCTTAGTAATGATATGAGGATTGGTAACATTCACAAATTTAAACAACAAAATAAACTAATTCCTAATGGTATATTATTCTTTTCATTGATAAAAACTTTATAAAAGTATAGTGTAAAAAGTGATTAGTTGTAAACAGTAATAACACATATTTTTAGAGAAGTAATTAAAATTGGCTCGTAAAAGATTTTTAATATATCTACAGTACATTAAATGCTACATCATCAGTTAATGAAGTTGGAAGACAGTGTTGCATTTTTTTATTAAGCTTGCAACAAAATAAAACAGTTTATTGAGTACGAATCTTCTATATAATATTGCCGAACTTAATAGTTTTAATAGTAGTAGTGTCCCTTGGAGCGTATTTGACACGAAACCTTTGGCAGCCATTGCAACCGAGGTATTGGCAAGAAAGAGTCGCAGCGCTATAAGAAAACGTGAACGAACATCTAACGTACGTAAACTTTAAACTAATGTTAAAGCATATGTTAAAACATACTGAAACATTTATCACGTTTTACAGTTTGATTTTTACTTGAAAATTATATTGCGTCAACCTCTCCTTAATTTTGATCTAACATTTTTTTCCTCAAAAAAATTACTACATTATTATAAAATCTACACTTTATGATATGCTGGTGTAGCTCGAGTGGATAAGGCGGCGAACTTTTGAACAAGTAACTAGAGGTTCGACTCCTACCAAAGGCGGCTATTTTTTTTAATTTTTTTAATTATTTTAAAATACAAAATACTTTCGAAGTTTTATAAAGATTATATACAAACATATGTAACGTAACGATATTATGCACTCACAAAAGAAAAGATTTTAAGAATGCTAAAACTTCATAAAACATTAAAAAAAAAACAAAAAACATCACCAGGAGAAAAAATATGTTGCGTATCTATGATAATTGAGACACTTATGTTATTAATGTGCGAATGTAATTAGTCCTAATAAGCTGCGGATGGTCTGAAAAAAAGTTGTCTGAAACTTAATAAAGAAAAAACTTAACAAGACAGCCCTGCTACTTCATAAGATGCTGCTGTGGAGGCAAAAAAAAAAAAGCCTGTAGCTAGATAAAACTTTAAAACTTTCTTTTGACAATTAAAAGTTTATTTTGCTACATTAACTTTTTTACTATAAATATATGCAGCAACTGTTTTTCAAAACGCATTAATATGCTTATGACGTAATTCAAAAAAAACCCAATTAAAAATAAAATTGTTTGGAAAAACTCTTCGTAAAACGTTTTTTGAAACGAATAACTTTTATTTAGTTTTTTTTTTCTTTTGTGCAACTTTCTTTTCAATAAATTTCTTTACCTTTCAGAATATGACCATTTTAAACAATGCTATAGAAAAAATATCAGTAAATTGATTAGTAGTATTTCAATTATATTAATTAGATTAAATTATATATATTAAATTATATATTATATATATTAAATTAAATAGATAAATAAATTGATATTCAGTAAATTTTTTTATACTTAGTGACAAAATAGACTAATTAGATAAGTCTTAACGACTTATCTAATTAGTCTATTTTGTCACTAAGTATAAAAAAATTTACTGAATATCAATTTATAGAATGCTAAGAATATATTTATGGCGGTTATTGTTGTTAAGGGTGATTAATAGGCAAATAAATTAAAAGCTAATCAGGGCTTTGAATAAATTATAAACTAATCAGGGAAGTTTTATTGGTAAACCTAATAAATAGGAAGATAACATATAATTCAGGTAGACATTGTTTTCACTTTTTCGCCAAACTTTGATATCTTTGATATTAAAAAATATGACCTTTCCAATAATTATAGATGGTAGTTTATCAACCTTTTTTTTCGGATCCACAATCCGCTATGATTTGTATTTTATCAATGTGAACGAAAGTCTATTCAAATATCTAAATATGTAAACTTTAAGTTCTTTAATTATCAATCAGTATAATTATAAAGTAGATGACATCAAATTCTACCGATTTATTTTTACTTAATAATTTCATTGCGACAATATCTCTTTATTTTAAAGCATTAAATGTTGTTTTTTAAAGTTTAATAAGTTTTCTGTTTATTAAATAGTGTAAAAAGATGATATAGCATTCCACAGCGATTGAAGTGCTTCGCTTCGGTTCAAAACCTTTTGCTTACACAATTTTTTTTTTAAATCCTATCCAGTTTTCTAGAAAACAAAGAAAAACAAGTTTAAATGCATATAGATGTTATACGCATTACATAAAAATAAAGATATAATATACTATAAGAAAGCAAACGGAGAGAATTTTTAAAAACGTTTTTAAAAATTTTTAAAAACATAAAAACGCTGTTGGAAATTTGTTGCGCATATATCATGATAGAGATACTTATGTTTTAGGTAATTAGTTAAAACTGCGAGTTCAACACACATTAAAGAGATAAATTTCTTTCTTATATATATAAAAAAAAGGTTTTACATGCAATCTGAAATTTTTATTAAAACTAACTGGTCAAGAGTCCTAAAAAGTACGGAAGGGTATGAAAAAAAAAATTGTAATCTGAAACCTAAAAAAAAAAATTAGTTACTCCAGAAGGTGACAAATAGAAAACCCACAAAATTTCGCCTAATCCGCTAATAGAAATGCTCGAATATTAAGATATAAACAAATATTAAATGATTTTTGTATTACGAAACGTACGCCAACTCTTAAACTACTGTAAAACTACCTTGCGGTTATCTAATTAAATCCACCAAATCCGTTAATAAAAACAGCTTAATTAATAGATTCAAAACCATCTGATTTTTGTATTATGATATGTGCGCCAACTGTACTCTAAAACCAATAAAACTCGGCCATGTGGTCTTCATATCGATTATAACAATTGCAAAGCGAGGGACGACAAGTAAGTTGTATCTACAAGTTTAATTATTGTAATCTTCATTTTAAAAATTAAACTTATTTTATAATTACCATGTTAATATGTTTGAAGTTAATATGTTTTTGACCCAAGAATAAACATTAAGATTATTTTTTAGAAATGAGCAGCCAAGATACAGAAGGTATTCTTTTAATTTTGTATAACATTAATTAAAGAGATAAAAAGAGATGATACGTCAATAATACTGAGATATTTAGCTTATTTTTTTATTAAGAAATTACATTAAGAA